GTTGGGGAGATGTTAATTATATATAACAGGTTTTGCCCTTACCCAACCTATATCAATAAGCACTGAAATGAACTCGTTGGTTGAAGCCACATAGATCACGGAACCTACATGAACATGTGTCGACTCATCATCAAATCTGTGGAGCCATTTGGACATTATAATTATTCTCACAAAGAGTCAACCACCGCACAGGGTATGGGAAAGGAAAGTTTGTTTTTCTATCCAATGAAACCAAAACACCTTTTGAGGTCACACATGATAAACAGTGGGAATACACTACAGTGTGGCATTGCTTTTTGTATAACTTTGAAGTGCATTTCTTCACAAGTACAGATCTTAATTAATGGTTTTAATATTCTTTCTGACAAATACCTTTTAATAAAAAGTGTATGGATTATCAAACAGGAGGGGAATATTAAGCACCCCAGCCAACAGATTTCATATATTAAGTGGTCAGAAAGAGAGGTTTTGATTTTGTTCTATTTTCAAATTTCAAAAAGCAGCATTTTTTTACATGAACCTAACGAGAGGAAAGGGCCCATCAAGATGGCAGTTGTGAAAGCTTTCCTATACAGCAAGCCAACCAAAACCAGACCAGAATTGACCACAAAGAACCAAGAGTGGGGGGGTTGCTGTCAAAATTAGGTGCCCCCCTCACAACTTTTGCTGCCTACGATTGTTGACGGCAAACAAATCAATCTCACGTGACCAGTCCATACATTGTAGTTGGCGTCATGTTTGAGCTAATGTGCACATGCAAACAACAGTATATCAGTCATGTGGGAGGAGTGAGTTTCCCGTCACCTAGCATCTGAAAACTCTCCCATTGAGTTGAAAATTGCCATAGAAATCAAATATTCCAAAGTGATGTTGGTGCCCCCCCCCAAAAAACTACACCCTCATGGTCTGGAATGCCCACTGAGCCCTGCCTTGCTATTCACTGTACATTCCAAAAGCTAATCTTTAACCAGATACACACAATTTCCACCAGCGTAATTTACACGTGACAGCCAGGTTTGCTCCAGTGTACTGCAGACTATACAAAAACTGACAGGATCAATGGTTTCTGTGGCAGAATCAGAAATTAGATTTTAAATTTCCCTTTTTTTATAAAGGGGTAGCTCCCCTCGAGACAGTCATTAACTATTGTTTAGTGTCCCTTGTATTTCTTGGTATTGTGGCCCGTTAGTTTACTTGGGCCCAAGCTCCCCCTTTTGACTTTTGCCACATATGCAAGCCACATTAGTTAGTGTTCCAATGGCAGAGAGTTTGGCCCTCTTGCTTTTGGTTGTTTCCTGTCCTGAGTGTAACATCGAGTCAGTGATCTTTGCTGGAGGTTCACTTCAAGTGTCTGTGGTCTGAGTTCTGCCACAATGTGTATATTCTTCAACACTGCATATCAGAGTGCAGTTTCTATTCCACTTACTCAAATTAAATGATACCTTAGCCCAGCACAATAACACAAAAGGCAGAGTGTTTTCTTTTCGTATCAATATTGATTCATTTGCTTTTCATACAGTCTGTACTTTGAACACAACCACTCTTTATTATTTGCTTTGATTCCACATGTTCAATCAACATTCTTCTATGCTATTGCCAGCAAGAATATTTATCTGAAATTTGTTATCATGCTCAAGATAACATCTGGTGGAATTTCATTCCATTTGTCACACTTAATAGCTAAAACACAGTTAATAGCTCAAAACACCATAAATAACAAATTCTAAAGAAACACCAAATAACATGCTGCCTAAACATTAAATTAATCAGTCTTATTTCACTTTTTAGAAGAAAACCAGCGAAAAAACTTTCTTGTTCCAGAAAGTGGACTCATTGAATGTGTCAGCTTAGGGGAACTGGCACATGGCGCCCCTCGATCTCGTCTAGAACTTCTAGGCATTGATGAAGTAGATGATTGAGACAATGCAAATATCCTCATCATTTGTTTCCGGAACTCATCACTACAGCCGTCATAAACAAGACTGTAAATTCCCCTCATGACACTAGGACCCTTATCCCGAGAAAGCTGCCAATAAACCGGTATTACATTTTTACGATTGGATTCTATGGAGTTATTCAGACTGCAATGCATGTGTCGCTCAAACATTGAGCATTTTAAGGATCGAGGAGTGACAAACAAGAAGACTTTGCGACAATTCTGAATGGCCTTGATCATCTCCCTCAGCATGTAATTTCCCCCAGTTTTATCCCGACTGTACTGATACCCATTTAAACTCAGTTCTCTCTCTAGCAAGTTATAGATACATTCTGATTCCTGCTCATCATCCGGATGGCATATTATCATAAAATCGTACAAATAATGAGTGCTCGAAGGATGACCAGCAGTGTGTCCTGAATCATCCAAAGTACTGTGCGGTGTTGCAGTGCTCTCTGACGACTCCAGACTTTGAGAAAGCTCCGGCTGATCGGATTCAGAAGCTGATGCTCTGTCCGGCAATGCTTTCTGGTGGGGGCTCCTTGGAGGAGAGTCGACGGAGTCTTGGGGCATCATACCGGGAGAGCANAGTGATGGATGTGCTAGGACGCCCCTTTGGCAGCTCACTGACATCACTTGAGCACCCTGGTTCAGTACAAACACCCTGATCAACATCCCTTATCAGCTCCTTGTAGGTGGCCAGAGGACGCGGAAGGTCCGAACACCCACCAGCCTCTACACTTCTGGCCTGCTCAGTGTCACAGGACCTCCCGGGTGTAGAAATCTTGGTGCCATTTGCCCTGCTGAGATTAAGAGGCTTCCCCCCACTCTGAGAGTTGGTAGGCCCTGCCATCCCGAGACGCAGCGGTGCGGCAGCACTATATGATGGCAGCACACTGTAGTTGCCCAACATGACCATCCTCTCGAAGTTTCTGCATTGAAGAAAGTCAATTGGGAATAGGAAAATGAGAAAGGCACAACATTCTCCTCCAAATACAGTGTACAGTGAGATTTTGTAAATGGTACCTTTAGGTTGATTCAGATATGCGCAAAATAAAAGGAAAATGAGTGTTCCAATCTTTTCGTGAGCAAACTGTGCCCCAAGAAAGTTAAGGAAATCCTTGAATTAGTATGAGGACTACCTACATGTACATCTCACAATCCAGAGGAGAAATTTCAGCAGAAGATGACTACCACTCGACTAAAATCTCTGAAACCTGTGCTGGACATGTGAGTGGGGTGTATATTTGATTATCTGGGAAAAAATTTCTGTCTTTACAGTAAGACAACTGAGGAGGCATTTGTTTCTCACAAATAAAAGTCAAAATATGTAATGTTGAAATTTAACCCCCAAAAGGGAAATGTAAAATGGGAGGGGGGGCAGGAAAAGAGAACCGGGTTGGAAAGAGAAATGGTTTTTTTTTACTTGGCTTAAAAAGTACCATCTCATAAACCTGATTCCAACAAACATACTTGGGGGTTAAATTACTGATTTAATAATTAAACTTTCCATGCAAAAAATCACAAACTTGAATCTTAGAGCATTGCACATCAAGGGCTGGGGATCTATGCAGCACACAACATACTGTTCTTTTCTTCACAAAACTCAAGGTCATTTACCTGTACATACAACTGGACACAGTTAAAAGCAACTATGACTAATATGAGCTTCCTCACATGCCTCAGTTACAAGTATCCAATTAGTTTTGCATAAATTAGTACCCTCGCACACTGGTCAGCCAAGTTTGTACCCACAGGCCCACTACTGCGCCATAGCATGCATAGCCGAGGTGTGGCTGACAGGAGTTGAGATATACCAAAGACGAATAGTACTATTCACCACTGCAGGCCAAAGATCTGGCAGCAGAGCAGCACTCTCTGACTGTGAATACCCTTACTAGTCTGGGGCTCTTCGCTTTACCTCTCGCCGAGTTCCAAGAAGTGAACAAGGAGCCCCATGGCTAATTAGTTCTTGGCTAGTGCCTACAAATAGTCAAAGTAAGCTAGTGGACTAAGTTAACCCCTTCGCTACGGATGACGGTAAGAGCCGCCATAAAAATTGAGATCCTCAGCCCGCTTTTCAGCTATTATTCTTGGCCCACGCTCGAGCAAACACGGTGAAAGAAGGCATACCCTGCCTGTTGTATATATGGTGATTGGCCTTTGTGTATTGCCAAGAAATGAAAAGGCCGAATTTGCATCATAATCACCAGCTTCACAATAGTCCCCACTTTGAAAAGAGGCAACGGGAATGTGGAAGCGTGAGTAGGGCCGCATACCACCGAACAATAAGCCTTTTCACTGTGTAATTCGAAGCATGAAGAGCACGCAGGGCCACAAACCGAGAATTTGTGGTTTGGCAGGTGGCCTTCATGGCCAAGCGAGGCTGGAATTCTCTGAGTTGGCTTTCAGAAAAAAGTTCCAGTTGTCAAGGGGTTAAGTAATTGTCACTTGACATGCCTGACCATGTCGTACGTATCCAAACATGCCGAATGTTAAAAAGGCGACTTGAAGTTGTTGAGTCCTAGTAACTCTGACCATGGAGGAAGGATAAAGACAACGCTAAAAAAAAAAGGATAGAAAACTTACTAAGACTTAACCTAAAATGATCTATGCCTGTTCTTACCGACTGCTGATGCTGCATGGAGGCCTCCCATCTGGCGGACGGAATCCAATTGCAACTCCCAGTTTTAGGATAATCAAGAAAGCTCAGCAAATGGGCACGTTGTTCTGAGCCCATATCAGTGATGTCTTTCATACTGTCATGTCGTGGTAAGTATTGAAGTAGTACAGAAGGTCAAAACTGAAAGCAGCACGACAGCCAGCGCTTTGGTCTTCGGCACTGCACGTAACTGTACTACATTGGTATCCAAAATGTCTTCGCCATGCTGCAGTACAGTGCACAGTACCGTGACGTCACACTCTAATTTTAGAACAAGGGCACTTCCCGACTTTCGATATCAACTTGAGTTTTAATATACGATTCATGCAGACTANCTAAAAGATTTTGAAAAGACAAATAATTTGAAAGGGGTCCGAACAATGCGCTGGAGAAATAGTCCAAAAATACGTAAGCAGCGAGAAAGTCCCAGAAAGGTTCATCGGTAGAGGGCGCCATTGATCTAACAAACGTCGCTGCATTTCATTGAATACTTTCTGTCAAAGCTACTAATACGTGGGGCATTATCATCCTCACTGCATACATTTTTCGAGTTTTTCGTTTTGATTCTAAACATTTTTTAATTATCATTGTCGTTGTGTCCAGTATTTCTTCCCTTTTTATTCTACTTTGTATTTATTTTTACCTTAGAGTGAGTTCATATTGTTATATATCGTGTCATTGATAAATAAAATATAACCGTTTCCCACTTTTTCATACTCTTGTTCTGCACAGTGCAACAGCGCTCCGCGGCGTCGCACACACGTTGACTGCTCTGGTAAAATAATCTGGGGTACGGTACCTTTAGAGAACTACTACGGGGCACCCCCCCCCTCATGGATGTTTGTGGCCCGGGTTTTCCTCGCATATAAAAAGAGCACCTTCAGTACATTTATAAAGGCACAAAAAGTCACGTAGTTGCTTTCTACGGTGCAGGATTAACACCACTGGTGTTATTTTGCAAAAGTGTAGATTTAGTCAAAAGTCAGTGGTGTAACTCAGTGGGGTACATTTTTCATGGGGAAACTGGGGGGCCTTCACTAATTTCTGGAGGTAATTCACTTGCTGTGTTTGGTTTATACAGTGAAAACAGTAAACCAGACAGATTTCCCTCTCCAAGTTCTGAGCAGGGGGGGGGGCACACGGGGAGCACAGGCCTCAAATAGGGGGTGCCCCCTTTAGTTACGTCACTGAATTTGGAGTGCATTAGTTTTATTCTTGGGTGAAATCCCGGGATGCATGTCATCTCCGTCTTGGGATCACATGAGATCACAGGGAAAATGTTTTCATGATGTATCTATGGAAGTAAGAAAACCATTGTGCTTGTTTGACATAGCATGTCAGCAAAATGACAGCTTTTGCCAACTCACAAACCAGTAATGGTGGACACGTAGTCAATTCCGAGGTACTTGTACTTTCGAACTAATCTGGAAAGGAAGAACTGGTTATTGCATAGACAAGAGTTAAATTGGGATACTTGATGGCAATGACCTTCATAAAAATTGGTTTTTTAAAACTGAAACTTTAGATATCACCGATGATTTTTCTTGGGGGGGTCTTTTTCAAATATATTTGTAGTTACCGCGAAGACTCCAACCGCGAAGTACAAATAAAAATTTAGGTTCCCCAATCCCCATTGTGTAGGGACCCCGCTCATTGGATATAAGTTGCAAGAGTTTCATTGGCTATCACTGATATTATTTCACTGTGAATTTTCTCTGTATGATTTTCTTCAGTTTTTATTTCAATGGAGGTGTTTTAGATATAAATTTTCAACCAAAGGATACAATGTAACTTTGCGTATCTGTAGGGCGCCGCGCGCGCTGCGAGTTTGTCTAAGCTAACGGGTGCTCAGCGGTGACGAAATCTCAGTACGATGACGTCATCCTTCAACATGGCCGTCCCTTGCGCGTAGGATGTTGTTGGCAAAGCGGGCATAATCGTTACTTCCTGAATTTACCCAGTTTCTGTCAGTCTGAGACTTTTTAATCAGGCCAGACATTCTTATTGGAAGGTAAGTTCTATATGCATGCAACTTTTCGCCTTATTTTCGCATGGCTGACATGGTGTGAACCTGAAGATCGATGGGTTCATCTGCATGCTGCACCCACTTTTTTCCAGATAGGCCTAAGCTTCGTAAGGTCTGAACGCCTTGGATGTGTGTACGTGTACACAGATCAAAGGTAATTTCCGGACAAAGCTTTTTTATCCAGGTGTTGGATGGAATAGATTTCAAGTTTTGGTTTTCTATTCAGTGAAGGCTGTAGCATATTAGATGTCATGTGTTTTTGTTTGGTCTGACGTTTTTCAGCTGCATGCTAAATAATGAATATACCCTAGCCTTTCTCTGGCATGTCTGGGCCTAGGCCAAAACTAATGGGCCTAGGCCTAGTTAGGGCATGTAGGGCTTGAGATTGGGCTAATTTTGTCGTGCTAATTGTCAGCATGAGCAGATGGGCCTAACGTTAGGCCAATTGTCCTACTTTGCTTGAAATCTGTACTTTGACTACTTGGCCTAAACCTTTTGACATTTGCAATATTACTATTTTGCCTAATTATACTTTAAAAGGACCGGAATGGGCTACTGCGCGCATGCAGTCAGAAAATAATTTTTCCACATTTTAATATAAAAAATAAATTTTTATTTTCAATTTATTTCCTTGATCCACCCACCCACTATTTCAAAAAAAAGTTCGAAATTTAAGAAGCATTGAAAATTTTGAGTGGTTCCTTAGCAGTTTTCAGGTACATCTATCTACAAGGAGCTAGCAATCGAATTTGGGTCAGGAACAGCTTAGATAGCAAGATTGAGGTTTAGATTGTGATTGTGAGTACATTTGACTGCTGAGTGATAAAAGTGCACCGTGATTTGCCGAATGGCCATTGTCTGGCTTGAGTTTGCAGTGGCCAGTCAGCATGGCAGATGCGCGCGGTAGCCTCACACATGCCACCGTACATGGGCGGATATGGACTACCTTTGGTAATTTTGTCTATGGTGTCATGAGTTCATGGTTTATCACTAAGCACTGTGTTTTCACAGTTTTTCAAGAAAAATTGTCCGAGTATTATTATATTTGATGGCTCGTCTGACGTGCCTCTCAATTCTAACTAAAAAAATAATACGTTCAAGCACAAATAAAGTGTGGTTGGGGGTTCTTTTGTGTAAGTGTTCAGTTACATACTTGTGAACTCTATACTTGACAAATTGATTTTGTTGGGGCTGAGGTTAATTTCATTCATGTAAGCCCAACCTTCTGTTTTCATTCTTTTATATCAAAATTTATAATTAATATATCAAAATTATACACATTATTTTTATGTTGAAAGCATGATACGTGTAGCTTCAAATTCATTTTTTTGGGAGGGGGTCGGTGGTAGACCTTGTGCACTTACCTGTGCAGAATGTTTTGCAGAAGTTGTCTTTAGCATGAAATTGTTGATAAGTTTGTTCATAATTGTGTATTGACAGAGGCAATAGCTAATTTAGAATACCTTTTCCCCTCAATTCCTCAAAAACTGGTTCATTCTGTTAAACTTGCACTTTGTGACTTTCCAAACTTCATATTACATGTATGTGCCAAGTTTCCATTTAGCAAAGAGACACATCTACCAGTATTACACGTAATCATGCATTGAAGAATCTAACTATTGCTAAATATTCTGTTCCAGTGTTAACTTCAGTTTCCTTTAGTTATCAGAGCAAATTACAATGACTTTATAGAGAGATCACTTTTCTAACGGTTGCAACCACACTTTGTCACAAAAAAATGAAAAAAAGAAGATCTGCAGCACCTGCCAATTAAGAAATGGTTGCTTTGAATTTGTTTACCAAGTTGTTTACAGTGTTAACGTTTTTGTAAACAAAACAAATTGAATATGACTTCTCACTGGAACATAGCATTTGGTTACTTTTTGGCAAAACATGTAGGGATATTTTCTTGTCATGTACAATACATATGTTATGAATTTAAACGAATCTTTTATTATTCATAATCAAACTGAAGATTAGACGAGTTGTCATGGCAACGGTAACAAAAAACAAATGAGCCAACTTCGGCGTCGTTGTTACAACTGTGAATGTCGCCCCTTGGATGTACATGTGCGGTACCTATCAAAGAAAGAAGATTTAAGAAATGCAGTACAAAGTTGAAGAGTTATTAGCAATTTAAAATGTTTACATGTTCGTTTTACCTGAAGCAACGAGCCTCTGTGATACCACAATTAACCAACTTTTCATTCAGAAATTGAACCGGAAAATGGCTTTTCACAAAATGCAAATGAGTGTATCTCCGTGCCCCTTGACCCATTTTGTTCAGTTTGGTGCCAGACGACTCAGAATTACATGACTGGTAAGACTGACTCACAATAAAATGAAAATATCTGCTTTGAAAATACCCATTTCTGTCCCTTATATTTATGGGAAAGAGTTCCATATACAGATGCCACTCGACGCCCTTTGCACAAACCTCATGAGACTGGTCTGAAAATTTCGAAGTGTTTTCTGTGTAAATACATCGGCTTTTCCCTCCTAAATTGAACTTTTCTGGACACGTTTTTGCTTTCTGATGGGCAATAGGTCACTGTAAGGAGTAATTACTGGCGTCCGTATATGGAACTCTTACCCATTTATCAGTTATGGGGCAGCGTTGACATTCAGAGTTTCACAAAAATATGGGTAGCAACCACACTGCACCGATGAAAACAACTGCAACGAGCACATGCATACGTACAGATCAAAGAAAGAACCCGATCCTCGGACTGGCTGGTGCGTGCGTACGTCACCAAGGTGACTGTTTTCACCGGTGCAGTACCTGTAATTTTGCGAGAATCCCGGATGTCCACGCTGCTTCCTAAGGTTTGGATAACAAACAGCAATGCAAGCATTTTAGGGAGTCCAACTATAGGGAGTGAACCAGGCAGAAATCAATTTCTAATTTTCTTCAAAATATTTAAGTAGCCTAACCTTAACCTACCCACTCATTAAATCACAGAGACCTAAAAGGAATACATGTACTGGTACGGTATTTTCCAAATAAGTTTTCAAAATTTGTTAGCCTAAAAAGAAATTAGTGTCCATTGTGTTTTCGGCAATAGGCCTAGTCACTTTTGGCTGAAAAATGAATATGATTGGTCAGTGTTACATGAATGAAGTTCAAGTCCTTCATAATCTAGCTCATTATAATGCATTGTCTTGCTCCAAGAAAAAAAACTGGTTTGCTTTGAAGTAATTTCCCAGATTTTCTTTTTCTGGTGGGCTGTTACAATTTTAGGTTCACAACTATCTTTATCCTAAATGCCGAAATAATGTAACACTATGAGAAGAGCATGGCTTGAACTAGAGTATGTAGTAAAATGGAAACAGATTGTTTTGCAGGCACACTTTTTCCATAGGGTTAAACCACGTAGCTCTATGGTTAAAGTACATACATGT